TTTGCAGACGTTATTCTCGGTTTGCACATAACGTCATCAGTCGAAAAAAATTCTAAAATCACAGACAAACAACATTAAAGTACTAAAATACCTTGAAGAGCATGATAGAAGTTCTCTCCGAAAGTTTAAACTTTTTTGCTGTTTATTCGTTGAGTTATTAACGTTCAAAAATATGTCACGCAATACTGTCACGCGACTTGAAACGCGACAAATAAACCTCAGAAAGCCTGTTAAGTTTAAAACAAGTATAGTCTCAGCATTAAATTAAATGTTTAAAATGTTATTGTTGTAAAACTAAAGCAAAATCATTAGTTTTGACCTCAATTCGACGCTCGGAGTTACTGTCCGCCATGTTCGTGTACTGGATTAGTACACAGTCATGGCTTTCCATAYATTCCCTTGTAAAGTAAGACTGTATTCAAACGCTTATATTTTTGCTACAAAATTTCAGTTTGACTTCAAACTTTGCATAAATGCTGGGAATTATATGCTGTTCTTGGCCTTGGATATAAAATATTCATTTCGATCTTAAAACAAAGATTTTTGTAGGTATTTCTTGACCAGTCTAAAACGCATTGAGCCGTGATAATCCCATACATTCTTACCAATTTTCGATCGCTCGTATTTCTGTTAAAAAGCATTATTTTCGCTCGAAATTTCGTAGTGATCCTTTAATTTAGNACCTAGCATATTTCGCTAAACATTCAAGATAAAATATCATGTTTAAGAGGAAATCGAAGTTAAAATCGTATGCAAATCAGGACAAATTTCTTGCTCATATAAAGATGCGGTCATTGCCAATGATTTTTAACATTTTTTTCCTTATGAATTATGAATGAATTTTATAAGTATTGAACGATGACTGCAATAAATCCTACTCTTTTAAAATAACAACAGTTATCATCACAGCAGCCTTGGCTACATTTGTATACATTTTTTCTTATCACAATCATGCTGCTAAAGGATACCTTCACTCATCTAACAACAGTTATTGTATGGGAAATTGTTAGCCTCCTCGCAGCCGTTCTTARTGGCGGGCTCTCTGCCCCCCGCCCCACAAACGGCTGCGAGGAGACTAAGAAATTGTCGGCTCAAAATTGTTTCACGACATCTTA